GTAGCCTTCACACTTTGTCTCTCAGGAGAGGTCAGGTAATCCTTGAGGTACGGGTAGTAGCACGATGGGCACGCTCTCTCACCGGCAACAGATTGTAAGAATCGAATTGCTGCATCTTTGTTGGGCCATCCGCCATCGAAAGCTGACATCGCTCAAGTCTAAAGTGGCAGGACGGAGGTAAGAGCTGTACTTAGGGATTGCGCTCAAACCTAGTTCTCGAGCTGTCACGCTTTCTTCGGATCATGGCGCATAGGGGTTTCAGCGGTTTCTTCTCACATGTGTTGCTGTCACAGGTTGAAACAAAGAGTTTGAAACCATGTCACATAAGAGTTTGAAACCGTGTCACATGATAGCTGAAAAAACTGTTTCGGCTGCAGCGTCCAATCCGCCCATGCATTCGGTCCTGGCGCAGCAGTCGCTTCAGCCCACTGTGTGGCTCCAAACCCTGCAGCAGAAAGGCCACACAGCGAGGCGGAGCTCCATGGACATGTTGCCCTGACTTTGCCACACTCGTTTTTTCACCACCTTTGGGGTCAACGGACATCACAGCGCATTGCGCACGAACCTCATGACTATATAATCTTGGCTTACGCGTGCTTTGACACTTGCGAAACTCCAACCTGCGACGCCAACATTCCAACCTGTGAAGCGCAGCCGCCGCGTCCCAATTGCAGCCTGAAACAACCGAAAATGGTATTCAAACAAATACTTGAAAGAATCAAAAGGTTCCACAGCAGCAGTCGAGAAGCAGCTCAAATGCTGAGTTGATGACTTGTGTCAATGACAAAGGTCGGTGACAATGATCTGGCAGCATCAAGGCATGAATTCTCAAACTTAGCAGCATTGAAAACAAATGCACCGTGACAGTGACTCCAATGCCAGTTGACAATGACTCTGAATGGTTGCAATGAAGTGCACTCCAATGACAGTCTTTGCCGTTTCACACGTGATGAAAAACTTTGCCCACACCCACAATGAAGCCCTTCAAGTTCAAAACCCAGCCTTGGCTCTGACACATGGGAAATGGGACAGGATCATCATCATCTTCCAACCAGGTCTCCAAGGCAGCGTGGCAGAATACAAAAGGTCCCCTCCTGATTCCTGATCACTGTTTACTTCTGTCTGCAACTGTCTACTTAGCCCTTCAACAGTCTACTACTGTCTGTGGTCACGTTTTCCTGGGGAGTCTTTTTGAAGTAGCGCCTGACACTGCCTTTATCTGATTCTGAATGCGGCAAGGTTGTTGGTCAAGGTTGAGTTCAAAACTTCTGGACTGTTCAATGCCCAGTCAGTCGCCGGCCAGCCTGAAAGCCAAAAGCTCGCGCGCAGCAGTCTTGTGGACGCAATATCCTTCCCCAGCGAACTCGCTACCAGCTGTGAAAGGTTCAAACTAAACTCAAAGCTAACGACGACGACGTTCGGTGCCAAATTCCATCGATTCTGATTTCTTTCAATCTTTACCCGCTCCATCCCACGAATCTTCGTGCCTTCATCCGGCTCGGGCATATCTGAAAGCACGGGTGCCAGAAATTCACTCCCCAATGTTTTCAAGTGAATAAGATTTTGCAGTAAAGCATGTTGGAACGTTGAAAATGAGATTCGGCATGTTCTTGGATGAAGCCTTCCAAGACATGCACGTTTGCTCGCCTTCAAATTCAGCAGGAACTTCGTTACTTGATTCCAAATGATGCTGACCCAATTTCTGCATGATTCGCTGCAAGGTGGAAACGTGAGCCTCATTTTGCAATTCAACTCGTCGCAACTAAAAATGGAACAGTTTGCCACTGAGTTTGAATTTGAATTGCGCTGTCGCATAAATCAGGCTGTCACATGAGCTTGAATGTGAGTTTGGCTGTCACATGAACATGAGTTTGAAGTTGACATGCCCGCTGCCATCAACCAAGCTGCGTGCGCATTTTCCCACCCACTGCAATTTATGACTAAATCCAGGCCCACAAGACCATCACAAAATCTAGCCATGCCAGGATTCTTGATCAAGCCGGCATCCTTTCATCTCAGGAACATCAAGCGGCAGCAAGTCATTGAGTAGGGCCTTAGTCATCCAAGACCGTATCGAACTCCTGAGTGGCCTGTACCTCCTGGTTCGTCTCGTCCAAACGTGCGTCTTCTCGGATCTGGGCCATCATTGTGTCACAGCTTCGAACCACTGTGAAAGGCCCAGCAGGGGGAAGCCCAGCTTCATCTGCGGACCTCTTCAAAGGTTTCAAGGTACTTCTAATCTTCACATCTAGGACCCTGGATGGACAAATTGTATGTCCAAGCCATCGGATGATGCGCCTGGTGGCCGGCAACAACTTTCTGACACTCAATCAAAAGATGACGACGGTAATTTACAATCGCAAAAATATCGCCGACCATTTAGTCTGTGTCATGTGGCACTTGTCAATCGACTTGATAAAGGCAAAGGCTGGGACGAAGACAAGGTTCCTGGTCCTGGACCGAGCCTAAGCCTTTCTCAAGTCTACTGACAACTCTCACATTGGAGGCCACCCCCAACCTCCTCGTCAGTCACAGGAGTGCCATCTTCCGAAACGACCACGGTGTACGTCCCAGGCTTCCACTGAATACATCCAAGCACGTCCTTGGCCTCAATCTTCTGCCATGATCTAGCACCTTGATCAAGCAGGTCTGGCTGACGGGCCAGAGGGCCGGCCGCAGTTAAAGCACCATCCTTGTCAGCGCTGGCCATTTGGCTTACGATTTCGCCGGAGGGCCTGGCTTATGCTTGTTGTGTGCAGTCTGGCTTTGTGCAGACTTTGGGCCGGGTCTGAAATCGTTCTGAGTCTGAATGTTCAGTCAGCATGTTGCCAAATTTTGCCAAATCAACCGCTGCACTGGTTTGTCAACTGCGACTGGTTCAAAGCATGCCGGAGCCACCTGCGCAACCTCGAAGTGCGCGTGCTCGACAACGATTTGACCTGCCAACGTCAACGATTTGTTGGTTGAAAGCCTTGCCAAAAGCAATGGACACACTGTCACGTGACATTTGCGCATTGTTTCAGATTCAAACCACGTGGGACATGTGTGTATCATTTGTCAAACTCGGATTCCCAATGGATCAAGAACCCATTTTTGACACTTGTCTGCCTTGCCTTCTGTCTGCACCAGCACCTGTCACGCTTGCAAAACACGATAAGCTTGGCGGATGAAAGCTTTGAGTTCGACATTGATTGGGTCTAGATGGATACTCAATTTCATTCAAGTTGGCTCGGCAGATGGTTGTCTGACACCTTTTTCGCACCGTCTTGGCCGTATCTACTTCTTGGCCGTCTTGGCCTTCATTGCCTTCTTCGCCTTCATTGCGTTCGTCTCCTTCATGGCCTTCATCGCCTTCATGGCCTTCATCCCCTCCGGTTCCACCGGCATCTTTTTTATTTCAACCTTCGGCTGGATCTTCAGGCCCTGGATCTGCTGGCCCTTGTTCTCAAAGTCCCTCGTCCAGACTTCCGTCACTTCGTCCCCCTCCCATCTCAAATGTTGGAGCCTGAGCGGTTTTGGCGTGGCCATCGGGCCTGGAAACACGCGCTGCTCAAAATTTGAACTGAGGCACTTGTAGCCGCCTGCAACATGTGTCTTCCACTTGTGCTCATACCGCTCAGAAG